TCCCTACAACTAAGGCAACAAAAGCCACAATGGAAGGAACAAAAATCTTGCAGCAAACTCTTGGAAAAATAAACTAGTAGCTGAGGACTAGTAATGTTAGGGATGACAGAGGACTCCTTCCCTGGGTTCCAACAGTTCTCTTAAGCCCCTGATCTCATGGCTCCCAGCCTGATGATGGCTGGAGACCAGTGACATGCTGKGTGACACCAGTAGAAAATTTGACCTGGACCTAGAGAAGGGTTCAGGTGTTTACATGGAGGAGCTAAAAAAGGGCCTAAGTCTTGAGAGATCCTGTCCTAATGCTGCACCCTGCAAACAACCCAAATGCCACATGACTTGCATACCACTTGACTGGATATCACAGGATGCAAACCTGTATCTTTCTGTCCTGGGCACTGTACTTTCATCCCAACATTACCCTGATAAATCCCTCACTGGAGCCCTGTCTTCAGAGTGGCCCATCAAATCCTACACTTCTCCAGGTGAAGGTTTGTTTGATAAGGGGCTGTGGAAATCCTAACTGGAAGTGCTTTTCAGCATGTTGACAGTTTCGCAGGATTGCAYGAGGTTAAGTACACATGGTGAGATGCAGGCCAGATGACAAGGGAAAATAATGATATCACATAGGCTCACCATATTGTCATGACAGTTTCCATTCAAGGGAGTGGGAGCCACTCTTACTAATAGCAGATAGAAATTCACTGCAGTGCATAATCCCTGAGATTAATCACCAAACTGTCCAACAGCAATGCAATGGAACCTACATATATAATTCTAAATTTTAAATAACTACATAATAATTAAAAAGTTGAAATTAATTTTGTTAGTAAATTTCATGTGATGTAACATACCCAAAATATTAGCGTACTTTGACATGTAGTTAATATTTTAAAATATTGAGGAGCTATTTTACATTCTTTTGTTAACATTACATCTTCAATACCCAGTAGGTATTGGATATTAAAGCCCATGATTGGGCTGGTTTCTTGGGCTCAGTAGCTTTGTGTAGCTAATATCCAGTGCAGATCCACATTTTTTTTTAATGCTGTTTTTCCAGACCAAAGTACAGACAATTGCCTCAAAGTATGGGAAATTCCTTCAGCCAATGGGACAAAGTGGGGCTCAGGAGATTAATGAGAGAGACAGCATCAGGAAAGTCACATGGGGAAAGCTCTATCCCTTCATAYGCATTCCCACAAGGGTTTCTTAAGTACCTACTCACTACAGGATTTGCATCTACCCTTCACAGAGAATAGAGGAATGCTCTGCTCTCCCTAAAACCCAGCCCATTTAACCTGCCAAACTCTAAGCTTCCTCACCCAGGATTACCATAGAGTTGGGGGAGGTCAGTGAATGGGTCTTTTTTTCCCTATGTTTTGTAATTATTATTCCACTTTGTTGTCCTTTTAATTTTAAAAAAAGTCTGCATTTTAAAATATTTTTATTTATCAGGCAATTTTCCATGTTACACCCAAGCATGCTGCTGTCACATATACTACAACCTTTAATCCTTTCAGCACATTAGAAACTCCGATTTGGGCATTTTACCTGCCTCACCTCCTTTATTTTTTTTCAGTTGGGATAGTAGGGCCAGAAAAAAAAAAATGTTTTTAATTTTCAATGAGAGGACTTGGGGACAGAAAGGAAAGTTTCTAATGAAGTCCCATTCATCCATTTTTTTTTCCTCAGTGAGTGCCCTTATGGACGTATGGAAAATATTTTGAAATGAGACTTTGCACTTCAGACCCTTGAAGACTGCACTCAAAGCAAATAAAAATCCAGGTGTTATCCAAACCCCAGAACAACCCCTGGAGTACAAAACCTGGATCAGCCTCAGACACTAACACTTATTAGCTGTGTGATATCCAGCAAGACCATTCACCACCACCACCACCACAATAATAATAATAAGTAGCATTTACTGATYTCCCATGTGCCAGTCTCTGATGTAGACAATAGTCCACACATATTCTTCTTTTCCAGAAAAATATAATTCATTTTATAGATCAGAGAACTAAGTCTCAAAAAAAGCAAACTGTCCCCCAAATTATATATCCAGTAAGCAGAAAATCCAGGTTGAGGAAAAATTATTAAATGTATTAATGTCTGCTTTATAAAGCAACTTTAACCCCACTCACCCAACACTGTATATTTACAAAGAATATGAATAAAATATTTCAAGACCCTTAATGAACAGGATAGACAACAGTGTATATCTATTACAAATTTAAAAGTTTGTAAAGCAGAGGCGAACAGAAATTGGGTTCAGTGTGCACTTTGATACAAAAACTAGGACTTTATTATTTATTTACTTGCAATGAGGAGTGACATCAAAACAGTGGGGAGAGAGAGAGAGAGAGAGAGAGAGAGAGAGAGAGAGAGAGAGAGACTGACTTACACTGTTCAACTTGCCAGGTGTTAAGATCATCCAGAGAAGAAAAAGTAAAAATACTGGAAAGAGGTGACAAACCTCAGATATTACAGACACATGAAAGCAAGCTGCAATTCTACACTAAAAAGAAATACGTATATGATAAATTTCCTAATCTTCCTTGCACATTCACAAGCTGGAAAATAAAAAGAGTTAAAAGGGTGAGAATGTAGCTAGAAAGAAATGGCGACAAAATGAAAATGAAAGGAAGACAAATGAAGAAACAAAAATAAAAATATCTGACTTTCTTTAAAGAGAGCAGAAGGAGGGAGAAGGGGGAGAGAAAAAGAGGAAAGCAGGGAGGGAAGAGAAGAAAGAGAAAGAAGGAAGAATAGAGAAGGAAGGAGGCAAAAGCTATGAAAAATAAGCCTGAATTGTTAGGGTCAGGGAGTTTCTTCAAGAAAAAGAAACTGGCCATGACCCCCTTAGTGTTGAGGCTGGGTACAGTTCTTGGGACTGTTTAGAGAAATGTAGTGCTCTCCCCACCATTAATCTTTTCTAAAGAAAGACTTTGTTCTGCACCTGTATAAACAATCCAGATTTTAAAAACCTATATGCCTGCCCCTAATGTGTGAGACTATGTATTTATACTGATAGCTTCAACTCATCAATAGGCAAGGCAGAAAGCTAGCCTGAGATCTCCTCCTTACATCTTTGTCTCTCTCCCCTCCTTAGCCAGGCCAAGCGTGCTTAGAGTCAAGTTCAAGTTCAAGCGCTCCAAGAAAATTTCCATGCTCTGTCAAATAATCCCGCGTTTCCCYAGCCCAGAGAGAGCTGAGAGCAAGCGATCTTTTTACTGAGCTAGTCCCAGAACAAGCCCATCCCCCACTACCTAACCACAGACAAAATGTACAGGGAGAAAGAATGGAGGTCAGCGGGACTGATTGTGTGAAACTTCTCCCACGGGAGAGGCATGGCCTGGGAGACAAGGTGGAACCATGCCTGAGTGATGAAGTCACCCCTGGCCAGCCACCTGTCGTGGCACTTCAGGCACAGAGCCCTTCGMATTTGTTCTGCTGTAAGAATCTGCTGGAGCGAGGCTGACCCAGTGGCTTCTGTCTTCCTTGTCCCAAACTGATGATCCATTAGTCTCCTTGCACCTCGCTCATTTTGGGAGCMTGGGGACTTTTAGTGGAAGGACAAAGGAACAACCAGTTAACCGCGACAAAGTTCAGTTTCCTCATGGTAGAAGGGAATAACCAAACCTCAACCTCACAGGGGTAGAATTCCTCCGTGGGCTGCTCACATGACATTGGCACATAGCCCACACTCACTCAGGGACTGACCACTGGTATGGTTTCCAAAAGGAAGTACCATCCTTTGACCACGCATTGCAACAGCCTTCCAGTTAGGGAAAAAAGGAGACACGAATTGAATTTTGTTTTGTTTCCTTTGGGGGAGGGATAGGTGTTTTATGTTTTGATGGAATGGGACGTCATAATTCTAGGTGTTGCTTTTCTTATTTGGGGGGCAGGATGATTGTGCTGAGTTAGCATCCTGCATCCGGTAGCTTGCTCTTCAGTATCACAGCTAAAATAGTAATGGATTCCCTAAATATAACTAAAAGAGTTAGGGCAGGGAACTCTCAAGACTTTAATACCAGTTAAAAATCCATTGGTGTGTGGTGGGCAGACTTGTAGCTACTGGAGTGCCAACAAGCTAGGGATCCTAAAGAGATTTTTTTTTTTTTTGAACCAGCCTGGTGATTCTGCAAAATGGAGATAACATTTAAGCTACAGATGCTGTTTGAAGATGAAACGAAACAATATAGATAAAAGTGCTGTATAAATCATAAAGCTACATAGAAGGAAAAGAGGAGGAGGAGAATGAGAGGCGGCTGTTGCACATTGTTGGTGTGACTTGCTTGTTTTGCCTTTTCTGTTGGAGGAGACTTGGATAGGCGGTGAGTGATGAACTTGAAAAACTGACTTCTACTGAAAAGACTGGGAGAGAAGCAGCAGGCAGGATCCGGACTCTGAGGGAGGTCTAAGTGTCAGACAATCTTCATTACACTATAGATCAGTTGAGTGTGATGATGGGTTGGGTAGGAATAAGGGGTCGCCCTTTGTTACTCCATAAAACACTTATTTCGCACAGACATCCTGAGGGTCAGTGGGGCCGTGGGCCCAAATTCTGACTTGGTAGAGACGTTGCCTTCCCCACCCCCACCATCCACTTCTCTGTGCGAGGAAAAGTGATCCCCACCCCTTCCACGCCCCTGCCCCACCTCTTGCCCCCCTTTCCAAAACCCTCTTCTTTGTGGGGGTGGTGGTGGTTTGTCCCGAGGAGTACAGATAAATAGTCCTGTCAAAAGGCACAGCTAGTGGTTGTGCGTGCGGACCCTGGATCCCGACGTCAATTTCTGGGCTTCATCCTCCGGGGTCAGCGGCGGGGCGCGCTCACTTTCACCGCCCACTTCACTCACACGCCTCCGCGCCTCKGGCCCGAGGTCTTCTGTCCTCCTTYGAGCTTTCCCTGTCCCKGTCTCTGCCAGGGAGCTGCAGGCGGAGACGGTGATACTGGCCAGGGCGGAGAAAGGCGAGCGCGCGTGGGCGCGGGGGAAGACGCTATGTCCACTGGCTCGGTGAGTGACCCCGAAGAGATGGAGCTGCGGGGGCTACAGCGGGGGTACCCGGTCCCCGCCTCCAAAAGGCCGCCTCTCCGTGGCGCCGAGCGCAGTTACGCCTCTCCCAGTGACAATTCGTCTGCCGAGGAGGAGGACCCCGACTGCGAGGAGGAGCAGTGCTCTCTGAGCTCAGCAAGCGACTCAGGAGGCTGCAAGAGAAAGAGGCCCCGGGTGGCTGGGAGTGGCGGCACAGGTGGCAGTGCAGGCGGCTGTGGCAAAAAGCCACTCCCGGCCAAGGGATCGGCCGCAGAGTGCAAGCAGTCGCAGCGGAACGCAGCCAACGCCCGAGAGCGCGCTCGGATGCGTGTGCTGAGCAAAGCCTTCTCCAGGCTGAAGACTAGCCTGCCCTGGGTACCCCCTGACACCAAGCTCTCCAAACTGGACACCCTGCGACTCGCTTCCAGTTACATCGCACACCTGCGGCAGTTGCTGCAGGAAGATCGCTATGAAAACGGCTACGTGCACCCGGTGAACCTGGTAGGGACGCTGCGCGCGAGTCCCGGGGCAAACAGCCCMGAGGTGTCCAGACTGGCTCTTGGGTTAAGCCCCTAGACAGACCCAAAAGGGAGGTTTCCAGGATCSATGGTGAGGAAGCCAGTTTAGTTTCTCCCAAATCAGGGGAGGAGAGGCCAGCCATCTTTCTGGAGAATTATCCAGTCTTCCGTGTTTGCATCATTCTGATCAGTTTATATGGTGTTTCGTCCAGTGACAAATATTAGCTAGTATCCTACTTCCGGGGTAAATCTTAGTTTCAACGGAGTTTACTAGCTGTCTGGCAAATCTCAATTGCCCGACTTTTTCCACTTTAGGTCCTGGCCGGTTTCAATCKGTAAACCCTACTTTTGTTTAAAAAGGAGGGAAGACCGATTTCTATAAAAGAACTTTTGGATTTTTAAAAATTGATGCGGAATAGCAGGGTTTCCCCGGACAGCATTGTCTGGAAAGTCCCTCTCTGATCTGCCAACTCTCCAAGCTTTGGAAAGATCGCATCCAAGCCTATGGAAGCCTCAGTTTCTAATTGGAGCAGATGGAGATGGGAGTGAGGGGTTGGGGTGGGGGGCGAAAAAAGAAAGATGAGGAATTAAAACTCAAAAGCCCAAAACTCATACGCGTTTTCCYGAATTATCGGGTGGGCATAGACCCGGAAGAAGCGTGAATGGATACTGTCTGTCTTCTCCTAATCAGTGTCTAGTAAGATTAAAATCCAAGTTTAGGGACAAGACTCACAAATTTCCAGAACGCTGATAAAAACTCAACTACTGAAAGCCAGGGGTAACTGTAGTTCTCCTAGGAGAGTAGTTTCGGTTTAAGACTGCCGCTAGTCCTCAATATCAGATGCCTTTTTCTAATTTTAATTTTTTTTTTAAATTTTCCAGACGTGGCCATTCGTGGTCTCSGGACGACCTGACTCTGACACGAAAGAAGTTTCCGCAGCCAGCAGATTATGTGGAACCACTGCTTAGAGAGGACTGGAACTCACTTGTTGGGATTATTTGTTAAACGCAAGTGTTTTGGAGCCGCGGAAAGACGGGAGAGAGTGAGAGGACACTAGAGAATGGGCACAAGGTCCCATAGGATTCTCCTGGACTTTTCCCCTTGCCTGGAACTGTGAACAGGGCAGGTGTCCTGCGACCACRTTTTGTAATCAGAAAGACCCTCCTTCTTGTGGCGAGCACGGACCTAGATCCAGTCTGGGGCCTTAGCTCTCGAGACTCATCCACCGCGGAGCCCAGCATCAAATCGCTTAAGGGGTAGTTTCTGAGCTGAGCTGGATTTGTCATATATGTGATGGCAGAATTCTGCACAATCTGGGCCTTTCACGGTTAGACAACGGTTAGAGAGATCTCTTGATCCGCCTAAAAGTCCAGGCGTGGGATCCACTTCAAGGCATGTTTTTAAATTGCAAAGAAAAGAGAGTGGCATAGCTGGACCAGTTTTGTAACCCACCAGGCAGCGCCCTCGGAACAGGTGGGACTTGCCACTTCGCATAGGGCGAGAAGGAGACGCATTTCGGAGACCAGCTCTGGCAGATTTTGCCAGGCACGTTCTGGGCTGTTCAACTTCCTTGCTGAGGTCTGACTTCTTACTCCCCACAGACTGGGGTCTTCTTTCCAAGCCCTCTCCTCTTTCTAATTAATGTTCTGCTCACAGGCTCCCAGTCTAATGTGGAGCCTGCTGGTACCAACCTGGTTTGGGTTTCCTTTGGGCCGCTCCCTTCTCCCTGCTCCTCGAAGTTCCCTCATTCACTATGCTGGACTTTCCCCGACAGGCTTCACCCCCACCCCCAACCTCTGGCCGCCCTTCCCCCATCACCACTTCTGGTACCCAAGTTCTTCCCCGCAGCCCAAGTTCTTCCTTGCACTTAGGAGGGCTTCTGGATCTGTTTGGGACCCATTGACAATGGTTACCATGATTAGMGGTACTGCGCCGCTGCCATGAGGCTGCACTACCACAATAAATAACAGATGTAAATAAATTTATTTTTTTATGAATAATAAAAACATTGTGAAAATTGTGTGTCCCTAAGCGCGTCAGAATGTGGTCTTTGTTGCACATTACCTGAGACGGTTTGGTCTGGATGTGAACTTTAAAGGAGCTGGTCTCAGCTCTGGACAGGGTGCTGGGTCACTGTCACCATGGTTGATGGTAATCAAGTTTTGGTCACATTTCTAAAATGTCTGTTTTAATATTATTAATCTGTATATTTCTGATTTTTCTTTCAAGTAATGATTCCTGGAAGGAAAGAAATGGAGACTTTTAAAAAGCCCGCGAGAGTCTTTTGAGGCCAGAGCTATCTTGAGAGGCATACATTCAGGAAGCTAGTATAGGTGCACTTCTCTCTTACACACACACACACACACACTCTCTCTCTCTCTCTCTCTCTCACACACACACACACACACACACACCAAATGCATTAAATAACCTAAATCACACTCCAGCATCTACAACTGCAAGTAATTTAAGAATGCCCTAAATACCCATCTACCTGAGCCGCCCAGGTCTCAAGTCTAATTGGGAATTAGAATAAGAATACAATCTAAGAAGCCAATTTGTATTTCAGCAAAATTCCTTTTTTTCCCCCCCCCAAACGTTTGGTCTCACACCACCTCATTCTCCATGTTATTTTCTTCCATTTTCACTGCAATAACTTGGAAAATTCATAATAGCAATTTAAAAAATGGTGATATTTTCAAAAGCAACATTTCTTTTGTAGAAGATTTTTTAAAGTGTGAAGGATAAACTACTGAACCATCCAATTTGGGGTTCTGCCTGTTTTTTTTTTTAATAAAATAAAAGGCAGTTTTTCTTGAACAGAGAGAAAACACAGCTGGACTTTAGTTAGGAGGTGAGAGAGAGGTGGGGAGCATGACTTCCTGTTTTGAACTAAACCAAACTCAAATTCTGGAGAGCTGCCTGATGACACCATTTTTTCTTGAGCTTTTGTTCATACCCCTATCCCTCAGGGCCTCAGGGATCCAGGTTTGGGGATTCAGTCCTCAGGTGCCAGATACCTGGCTGGGGGATGGGGGTCACCTTGGACTCTCTGTGGTATCAGGGTCTTTCTGGCAAAAGGGAATGTGAAGTAACTAGTGTCAGGAGATCCCAGCATGGTCAAATACACTTCCATCAGTTCTGGGAAGCAGGCTTCTTGAGCTTGGAATGTCTGCTGGAAGCCAGATCTTAGTCAAGGTCATTTCTTAAGCAAGTTATGGGGGTGGAGGAGTTCACTGTGTTGGATAAGGAGAACTTAGCTTGAAAAACCCAGCTCTGCCACCTCACTGGGTTAGTGACCAAGTGCAAGTTAGCTAACCCCTTCCAGCCTGTTTCCTCATCTACAGTGATAACCCTACCTAGGAGGATGGCCTGGGGCATACAAACCATCCTGTATTTAAAAAGCAAACCTTCTAATAGGCAGTGAACTGGCTACTACAGGAAACAGAGGGAAACAGGTAAAGGGGACCAATTTCAGACTAGCCTTAAAGACTGGGTCCAAAGCCGGGTTTGGGTTTCCTTTGGGCTGCTCCCTATAATCTAAGCTTCATGGGAAGCCCAGGCTGGAGAATATGAGGTTGAGGTCAGCTTGGGCAACAGAGGAGGACCCCATTTCAAAAAACCAAGCAAAACAAAACAAAACAAAAGGGCCGGGTCCTGTTTCCAGAAGTTGCAAAAAAAAGAAATGCCCTGGGAAAGCACACAGAAAAAACCAGAATACCTATGTTTATAATGAATACAAATAAGAATGGACATTGAGATAAAAAAGGAAATATTGTGAATTTTCATAAGGAAATAAATAATATTTAAAGTATTTGTTTTTATCATTATATTCTCTCAACGTACTTCAGGGACAAATGTACAGATTTCTGCACCTGCTCCCCTCCCATTTAGGAGGTGCAGTTTGCCAATTCACATGTACACAGAGGCTGGTGGTGTGCCAGCAAATTCATTTTTGTGATGACTTTATAATCCTAAAATTTATGGAGAATAAAAAATTTTTTTCTCAAAGATTTCTGCCCCATTGTTTCTATAAAAAGTCTAATGCCAAGGATCATTTTTTTATAAAAGAAGAAAAGGGCAATTTCTAGTAAGTTGCAAGCAATGAATGTAAATTGATTCAAGTTTCTGGACAAAGGTTGTTAACTAAGAGAGCCTTGGGCATCTTAAAGCAGCCCTTTCTATATCTACCATTGTGCTCAGAGTGGCAGAAAGACATCCCAGAGTCCTCCTCACTTTTGGAGATTTAGGTTGGACAAATGAGAGTGGAGGCTGGGATCTGGATGGAGGTGGGGTGGGGAGAAAGGAGAAGTAAGTACAGGCTTAAGGTTTCATCAATTCAATTATACTGCCCTAAGAGAAAATGTGTTGGGAAAAAAAGCCTTAAATGTAAAAAGCAGTGAATAAAAAAAAAAAAAAAAAGAGTAAATTGAAAAAATCCTCTGCAGGGGGCTTTTTGAAGGACCAAAGCATCATTATTAGTGATACTGACTCAACCAAAGAGAACAAAAAATCCCCTTCCACAGACTCTTCCTAAGATGAATATTTTAAAAGAAATGCTTTCGGCACTGTAATTTTGAAACATTTAGGCGTTTCTCTTGGTTGTAGATGTTGAATTGATTTTGTGTGTATTCATCTGTACTGGGCTTCAAGTTCAATTTCACTTTAGTTCTGGTGGCTCCTTCCACAGATAGCAACAATAGGGCTTGCAGTTTACAAAGTGATTTTTATGGGCAGCCTCCCCCTCCCCCACTCTCCAACAAATGTTGAAAAATTTTAAAGAAAAAATTTCTCTGCTCATAAAAAAGAATGCTTCCTAATTTAACAGACAGATAATTTTGTTTGATATTTCTGGAAAACATTAAAAATTACAATAGCTCAGAAAGTCATTTTAGTCCCAGTTGGAAGGACAAAACTGGGTAAATTCACAAGAGATTTCTCATTATCAAGAATCTAACTAGTGGGAAAAATCACTAGGAGTCACCAGATTGACTCCCTTTGTAACTAAGCACCTGGCTGCCCCTCCTTTAGGTGGGAACTTCTGCACATCCCCCACCCACTGGAAGGCCAGGGGGCTTGGATCTTTCCACCACTTATCTTTCTTTATTTTGTTTGCTTTTTGAATTATTTTTCTTCTTTATGCCCCAACAGTAAAAACTGACCCAAAGAAATACTTTGAAATCATGATTCTAAGAAAGTAGCCAGTGCCAGACAGGTACATGGGATAATGTTAACATAAGTAGCAATTATCTCAGGGGATCTCAGCCTTCTCCCTGTTGGTTCTGCTGTCACCAAGATGGTTAAGGATCAATTTTGTGTTTCTTCATTGCTCGTGATAAGAAAGATCCAGGAGCAATTGAGAGTAGGGGTTTTCATTTGGTAAAAATATGGTATTCGTATCAACTACAACTAATTGTTAACCCTCGAAGRTGAGAGAAGAGAGGAACAAGGAACAACAGGCTTTTACTGTTTACTTGTGTTTGCTTATTTAAAAAAATTTTTTTTTTTAGTTTATTTTTTTTTTTAATTTAGATACAGGGTCTCACTGAGTTGCTTAGGGCCTCCCTAAATTGCTGAGTCTGGCTTTGAACTCTCCATCCTCCTGCATCAGCCTCCCAAGCCRCTGGAATTAAAGGCATGTGCCATTCTTGGGTTTCTTAAAAATCCATTTTTAAGAAAAATTGCCATGCCAGATGTAGCTGGTTCCAGTCTCGTCCCCTAATTCCTGACTCTGCATCTTAATGTATCTTGACTCTGCTCAGAACCCCTCCTGCCTCCTAACTGGAGAGGACATTAATTATGATTGAGCACTTGGACAAAGCTAACGTTTAAAAACCCAAGTCTCAATTTTCTTTTCTTCTTTGATATAATAGTTTGTGTGTCCTTGACTCTCATCTACAAATTTGTCCTTCCATTCCCTTTACCCACTTTTATCACCTGGCTCTTTTATGCCACATCTAATTTTCTTATTTTGGTCTTTATTTTTACCATGMAGGACAAATTTTCATTTAATTTCCTCATAAAGATAAAGACCATATTAATACACATCAGAAATTATGCATGAGATTAAAATCAGACTCATTTTAGAGTGCAAGATAGACTGACGGATTTTGGCATTACAGAGTACAAAACATACATTGATTTCAGATTTCATGTAGCAGCCAACTTTTAAGAAGCTATACTTGTAGAGTTTGTATAATATCAAAGAATATTCACAATAAACTGAATTGGACATTAAAATACTTCTAACCTTAAAAACTACATATCTGTGTGAGGCTGGTTTTTTAACCAAAATAACATATCACAGTAGAATCAAGRATTAAGTA